AGATTTATATGCCGTACATGTAAAAATAAGTATAAATAAACTTTAATAGCATATGTAATTTAAAGCAGTGGTCCCCAACCCCCGGGCCTCTTACCGGTATTGGTCCGTGGATCAAATGGTACCGGGCCGCCCAAGGAACATTAAATTATTGATATTTCCATTTTATTTACTATGGTGTACAGTAGAACCTCGATTATCCGCTTTAATTGGGGACTGGGGTTGGTCGGATAACAGTGTTGCCGTTCCTAGTACATTTGTACTTTTCTGGTACATTTTGCCCTTTCCAGTAAATTGAAAGTACATTTAGATTTTTAGTACATTTTCAGTACATTATAATATTTCAATTACCATTTACGGTACGAAATAATATTTCACGCCTTAACGAAAAAATGAGAAAAATTAGTTTAATAAAGTCTCACTAGTGTCACTGCTTGCTAATTTAAATTATCCAATCACAACATACAAATGGTGTGTGTCCGTCGANTATTTGTTGTACAGACTTATGCAATTTCTTGTAAATGTAGGATCTGTATAAAATATAAAGAAAGGCTGGAAAAATCAGTTTGTTTTATTTTATTGTTTCCATAAGATATTTTTTAGAAAATATCTTATGGAAAAAATTATAGGCTGTATGACCATATGAATTGCAACATTTTTAAATGTTATGTATATACATATGAAGCCTGATGTTTTAACCAGTACTAAATTAAAAAAAATATTTCATCAGTTATTCAGTTATGCTGGTGAAGAGAGAGTTATAGAGAGAATGAACTCTAGCAGCAGGAATATATTAGAAATTATGGACTAGCTAAATTTTCACAAAGTATGATTTACTGATATAAAGCTTAATTATCATAGTCTTCAACACAGGTCAACATAATTTTATATTAGTAACATTGATAATATGAATATACAGTGTGAAAATATACTAAAAATATTCTTTAATTAAATGTTTGTGGGTTTTACTTGTGTGAAACATTAACATTCATTTTCAAATAACTTTATTTTTAGACCCTCTACAGCAGCGGTCCTCAACCTTTTTATCGCCGCGGACCGGTCAATGTTTGATAACTTTACCGCGGCCCACTGAGGGGGGGATGTTGATTGTTCATATTTTAGATCGATTTAATTTAATAATTTTAATTTAACTGTATTTAAACATGCCTTCAAAATAAAATACAGTTACACCAAACAATGAATATAATGTGATTTAACATTTTAACTCATTAGAACGCTAAATCAATGAGAACCCTGAGCTTGTTTCTTTGCAACGAGACAGTTCCGTCTGGGGATAATAGGAGACAATGACACCCAAAGTGTGTTTCTTATATCCAGTTTATTCTGTTGTTCTGTTGTCTATTAAAATTCACACAAACCAAATACACCATAGTAAATAAAATGGAAATAATTTAATGTTCTTTGGGTGGCCCGGTACCATTTGATCCACGGACCGGTACTGGTCCGCAGCCCAGCGGTTGGGGACCACTGCTCTACAGCACTTCTATTCCACCCGTCTATATTCGAAATTTCTTATTCTTTTTTTCAATCATTCATTTCCAGGCATTTAGCAAATTATTAGTTGTTATGTATAATTGTTTTCCAGATTTTATTTGAAAATCCAGTTATTTTCCGCCAATTTGATATATTCTTCTCCATTTTTTAAACTATTTTTGCCTCTTTCCACCTGTGAATTACTACCATATCAATTATGAAAAAAATATAGTCTTCAGCATTAACTCTAGGTGGGAATTTGAGTTCTACTTCTAGAACTGTTGGAATTGTACTGAGTGCAGAATGGTTCCTCAGAACAGCTTAATCTTTTGGACTAGACCAGGGCTCACCAAACTTTTTTCACATGGGCCACATAACTGAGAGAATGATGAGTGTGGACTGCATAACACCGGGCCGCCCAAGGAACATTAAATTACTGGTATTTCCATTTTATTTATTATGGTGTATTTCTCTCGGGTTTGTGCGACTTTTAATGGACGACGGAACAACGGAATAAACTGGACATAAGAAACACACTTCAGGTGTCATTGTCTCCTATTACTCCCAGATGGAACCGTCTTGTTGCAAAGAAACAAGCTCAGGTTTCTCATTGATTTAACGTTCTAGTGAATTAAAATTTTAAATCACATTATATTCATTTTTTGGTGTAACTGTATTTTATTTTGAAGGCATGTTTAAATACACTTAAATTAAAATTATTAAATTAAATCAATTTAAAATATAAACAATCAACATCCCCCCTCAGTGGGCCGCGGTAAAATATCAAACGTTGACCGGCCCGCGGCGATAAAAAGGTTGGAGACCGCTGATTTAAAGGATTGATAAAATAAATTTACAATTTTTTAATGTCTTTTTATTTTTTCTTGTATCAATTCTCTTTCTGGCGTTATTTTATTTGTAGAACTTTAACTTTTCTCTTGGCTCTAAAATCATGTTTTTTCTTCTTAAATCTTTTTTTCATAAAATCTATTTTTGTTTCGTTTTCTTCATTTAAAAAAAATGATTTGTGCTTTATGATATTGTAATGTGTATTTATCTACAATTTTAAAATTAATATGGTTAATGGTGGTTTCATTTATCGCAGGATCGTCAGAATTGTGATGGATTCACAATACATAAATCCTCTATGAGGAACTAATCAATGTATACCAACTTACGAGGATTAAAACAGTACAACCTTAATAATTGTCAACGAATAACTTTATTTAAATTAATAGAAATAATAATAAAGAAGATAAACTGAAACATGAATAGTAATGTATAAAATTGTACATACATGCCGTCAGCAAAACTCTATAGGAGAAGCGAAAAGGCAGTCAGAAAAGAAAACAAAAGAACAGGAATCACCCATTAGATTAAAAAATGAGGACTCGCCGTGGTTTCAACATTGTATTAAAAGTAACCGTAAGATGGACAGAAATGATATTGTGATATTACACAAATAAAATAATTTTATTAAACGAAGAATTAAAGAACATTACAACATAATAAAATATGTAAAAACGTTAATCTGAATAAAACAATAATATAGCATGGTATAAAGTGAAGCCACGAAGAGGATGTGGTCTTCCTCACGCTTTTGACCAGTACAATTCGAATATGAAACAAGTCGAACAACATGTTTAAAATTATTTTAAAATTCCGAAAAATTTAAACGTTAGAAAATAAATTTTAGCCGTATGTGCTATAATAGTGATTAAAATATCACTACATCATCACAAATAAATAATATGTAATTAATTAATGGTGTTGAAATGGTAGCTACATGCTAGTGTTGCTCTCGTTTTTTTTCATAGCACCACCTCCATGAATACGGCATCCTTTGCGTTAATACATTTTCACCAATTTGGCCTTATGGAGGTCGACTTGTGTTTGGAGGTCCGTAGCGTAGGCGGCTAGGACGATGGTATGCCTTTGGTTGGAGATATCATACCCGTGTTCTGTATCCTTTTGCTTAATGAGCTTTTCGTGGATCCGATTTATACTAGATCAGGCTGAATTCTGTGGTCTCTGAGAGAAATCATATAGACCCCCGGTGCCCGACTTTTCTCGGTCCTGTCTTTGTCGTTGCGCAATAGTCCATATACTGTGCTGGATCTCTTTATGCCTTTATGGGTAGCAATATCTTTATAGATAAAGCTTAGGTGCTGGTTGTATTGCATTACCGTGTGTGATTGGTCTATGCTAATACAAGCCGACCTCCGTAAGGTCAAATTGGGGAAAATGTCAGGTCCGGAGACCTATTATGAGTAGTATCGTTAAACTAATGAATACGATAAAAACTAAGTTTCTATCGGAATTACGCGATTCGCGTTTAAACAATTGTAAAAATGCTATTCCGAGCCGTACATTCCGTTTTCGGTTCCGATAGCCATGTGCGATAACTAAGCTTTTGTTATCGATCACTCTCGAGCTGCCGTTAGGAACGTAACGAAAGTAAAAACAACACGGCATCTTTTGGTGTAAGAATGATTTTACACCACGAAAAATTGGACAGAGAGTTAATAAACTATGTTGTTGTATTGCTTAAAAATAATTACCTTAACTATTTATGAATAATTGCTTTTTTTGTTGAAATTTAAAGTAAGTAGCTATAGCATGAACAGTATTTCTGAAATAGGTTTTATTCGCATATGTATAAATTAAAATGATAGCTTTGAGTATAAATCTTTAAATATATCAGTTACTTTTCGCCATCTTTCTGGATCTTTTTGTGACATCGGAAATTCAGACGAAATCGTGTTGTCGCTCTCATTTCTTGCTGCCCGACATGTTTGTATCTAAGCGCGCATCATGTCTTTCCGAAATATCCAATTACGTAACATCATAAAAAACTTTCTAGCAGCGCTAGTGTCGCGACTATTCGATTCATTTACTCTATCCTTAATATCTCAGGATTTAGTAATTTTTCGATAAAATTTGTTACAGAAATCCTTGCCCCAGTGATCTCGGTATCCAGTGATCCAATCGCTGGATTTACAAATACCACGATTAAGTAATGTTAGTGAAGCACTCAGTTAGTGTTTCTTAACCATGTCATAAAGAAGTGCTTTCCTGGGAGGTGTCACAAAGCATTTCTTGAAAATTTTTCGTTTGCAACGCATTAAATTCAGGGCTTGCCGCCCCGTACGCTTCCAGTTATGGCCGTCTAGTTATACATTTTTATCTTCACCCTTATCTTGGAAAACCAAAAGGTGGTAACCTAACTGGAATATATTCTGTATTATATTTTTTACGTATTTGATGTTCGATCGAGAATAAGGATGTCTGAAGACCGAGGAAGGTCTTCAGACATTGTTGAAGACGTATTTTCAATAGATATCTAAAAAAAAATTAATTTTATTTTTATATTGAGTAAAGTTATAATTAATATTAAATAAATTTTAACTTTTAATCAACTAAAATTAATAATATTTTATTATTGTTTAAAATTTTTCATTTGACATTTGTAAAATTATTTTCCCAATTGGCAACACTTAAACGTTTGTCGTAGTGTCGGTCGTGGTTCTAGGAGATAAAGTTTTATAAATTTGAAAGTATTTTCCGCTTTTATTTGTTATAATTACGTGTTTATCGGGTTTTGGATTGCCGGTAATGAACTTAAAAATGCATAAATGTTGGAGGCATTTATGGAATTGCACCGTTTATGAAAGGTGTAATGCATCGAAGTCTCATCGTTATAAACACGTTGAATCGTGGAATCACGTGCAAAAGTTTAGTAAGTTTAATGCTTTAATTATGTATATTTTATAAAATTATTCTTTCAATAATTGTTTTGTTACTGTATATAAACGGTTACAACTCTCTTTTCTACAAACATGTTACTTCTGTATTCCTTTTCACATTGTAGGCCATAATATACGAACAGAAAGGAACCATCTGACCATGCGGTGTCTTTTATGAGTGTTTTTGTTCCTTTTCATCACGTCTGATTTGCTTTTATACATCCAAAATTGTTTCTATGTTTTTTAAAAATTTTCATCAATTGTTTTCTAGGAAGAAACTTATCGTAGCAAACAATCAATGATTTAATGTTTGTGGTGTACCATGTAGCATCAATTTTTATCCTGTGTCTGTGTCTATGAAACAATTTTGCCAATGACACTTTATTAACTTGTTAGGAACTGCAGTCTATATTGTTTTTGTGAATGGAGACAATTGTTTTCACGTACACTATTGCATTCCTTTTTGTGTAGCTTTTGAATGAAACTGTTTAGTGAACGTGTAATTGACTGATTCTGCTTATTGTGATTGCACTTATTATCCAGAGGCATGCTTTGCACTGTCATCCTTTGATGGTTTGTTGAAAAACCGACAATGGATCGGTAGCAAACTTTGAGTGACGTCAGATGTGCCACCGGATGTTTTGTCTGGTCCAAACTGGTGTATTGAGTGATGGCATTATATATGTGGATATAGCTTTCATTCTAAATATATTAGAAAATAACTGTATTAGCATTACACTTCACATTAAATAAGTGCTCTTAGTTTCTTTTAGTAAAGAGAGAAAAATTTTAAACACTGATACTTTTCCTGCATTTGTGATTTAAAATTTTGGCAACTTTTTTAATTACATTTAGAATTATAGGAAGTAAATATCAGAATGTATCTAATGAAGATCACACTTAGATTCTTGATTGTCTTTGTTGCTTTTTTTGTTATTGTACAGAAATATTCTACAATTCTTGTAGAGATAAAATCTTGACCATCATATTTAACAATATCATTGTTAATTCTATAAAAATCCAATTCACAATCAAATATAATATTTACAAATGGATTTCTTTGAATAGATATGTTGGGCAATAAATAAGGAAATATCATGTTTCACAAATCTAAACTAGTTTTGAAATATTGCAAATATTATTTATTCCAGATTTGTTTTCATTTATCTCTCTGAAATTATCTTATACTACAGATGAGTCCAGCATTACTCAGGCAAAAATAACAACAACAAAGATTATGATTATTAGATTATTTCGTACTTCTAATTCTTAAACTATACTATATTATAGTATTTGATTTATATTTACAAATGTTATGTTCTGTACAGAGATGTGTAAATCTTGGATAACCTCACAATTATGAAATTGGCACTTTTCACCAAGCAACTGGCTACATTACAAATAGCAGAAATTCTAAAGTTTTTAATTGATTTGCAATTTTCAACCTTTTTTCTTTAATTTTTTAGTATTGTGCATTAATGCTTGGCACATGTCAGTCATTGGGGATGCACTATAACCTCACCAAACATGATCAAAATCTGTGATCTCAATGTTATGTTCTCTCCTTGTAAATCAAATTTATGTATATCTCTCTTAAGTATTTGAACATTTTAGATAAAAATATTCAAATACTGGAATATTCGTGTGCAGTTGTTCAAAAATATATTTACCTGAGATAATATTATGGTACAAAATATATGTTATCTAAATGGATAGTTATACAGGAAATCCTCGTTAATTTGAACTCGGATACTTCAAAATTCTCTTAGTTTATAATTTAACATGTAAATTTCTATATCCAAGGCTGGGAATATAGAAATTTTCATTTAGTATTTGAAGACAAAGTCTGCCCAAATAGGGACCACCATTTATTAATTAATTTTTGTGACTGTACAATCTAATCTATATTTTCCAGCGCTTATTTCTTTGTGGATAAAAGCTGAAACACCCTCAAGAAAGTATGTATAGTAAACAGAAGACGTTCGTATGTCACCAGTCCCTTTTTCAAAAAATCAGAAATTAATAAATAGTGGTCCATATTTGGGTGGGCTTTTATCTATAATACAGAAGTGGACAGCACGCCGACAATTTAATAGGAGAAACTTTTATCATACAGGCATTGAGTTACAAATAAATGTCGCTAGACTGACAAGTGCTTTCGGCGATAATTATTTTCGTCTTCCTCAGGTCATTATTTATTTATTTATTTATTTAGTACAAAGGAAAGCCCTGTGTGTACAGGCTCTTATAACTGATATTACAAACTGTAGTAAATAACACTACAAAAAAAAACAAATTAATACAACAATATAACGCGTGACAATTAGACTGAAAAGAAAAACTACAAGACATCATCAGGTTAATATCATCCGAAACAATAATAGCATTTATATTCTTATAAATAAGGTACATAAATAAGACAAATGAAAAAATGGCAGCAAATGATCGGCATAAACAAAATATAATAAATAAAAGAAAAGAAAAAAGCAAGCCATTACCTGCAAAAGAGTAAACAATTATTTAAAATACGCCCAAAAGCGCCGACCATAAATGCTGCCAACTCTCAAACACTAAATCGTTCACTTAAATAGTTAATTTACACCTCCTGGTGGTAAGCATCTGAAAAGGAAAAGTTTCTTAATCTTAACAAATAAATAGTCAATCATTTAACTTAGTTACAAAACTATAAATACAATAATAATTATCCCAGTCCTGCAGCAACCGTTTATATGCTTGAACCGAAAAACAATCTTCACCATAACACTTTTGTCTGAGTGCAGTCAACGCCTTACATTCCGTTATTACATGAAAAGCGTCAAAATTAACAGTAGTATTACAAAATTCACAGTAGTCCATACATGGACTTAACATTCTTCTAATCATATTACATCTCACATATAATACTGCTTGTGTAATACAAAAAGGTCTTTCTAAATTCAGATAGGTCATCGACCCCCATTCATTAAAAACATCCATATACCATTTATTATATTTGTAATTAATCGCCTTGTTTTTAAACTCAGTTACATAATTATTCGCCAAACTCATTAAAAAATCTGAAGTCTCAATTTCATTTAACATTATCGGATCCTTTCGATAACCAGATTTCTGCAACAGAGACACAATTCGATCTCCCCACGATACTCTTTGGGAAATTAAAAATATTTTAGCAGACTCTGTAAGTTTACTAGCAGACTGCTTACGTAACCATTTTAAATTATTTTTTATTATATTAAAATAAAGGGGGACTCTTTGAAACTCTAAATATATAATATACGATGGAATCCATCTCTTTAGAGAATATAAACGCTTAATAAAATTAATTTGTATATTATCATCTTTATCTCTCCAATCAAAGCCCCAAATTTCGGATCCATATAACACTACTGATTGAATAAATGACTCAAATAATTTTAATTTATCTTTCCAACGTACCACTCTACCAGATACACAAGCTTTCATAATCTTATCAATTCCAAAGGTCACTTTACTGTGAATATACTTTAAATGTTTTAAAAAACGCCCATTAGACTGGAAAACTACACCCAGATACTTGTACTCATCCTCAGGTCATTAAAAACGGTTAAATTCCTTTTTTTTTATTACAAATAACTGACCGTTCCAAGCGTATTAATATTTTGGAATGGAAGCAACCGTAGAACATAAGACAATTTTTAAATAAAAATACACGTGATTATAATGTGCATGTGCTATGTGCCTCCAAATTGTGGAGCTAGATACATTGTTTTACATAGTTATACAAATTGATCCACAAAGGGGGCAAATCAAGTGTGGGGGTGTTGCAGGGATTTAATATGTTGGTAAGGAGGGCCTCCTAAATATATACGATATTTCTGTTATTGCAATGTCTTATTATGGCCACTTCATCCCACAATGGGATATGTTGATGTTGTAATATCAATCTAGCAAGCTCAGTTTCATTCCCGCCTTCCCTGATAGAATACTGATGCTCTGAAATATGATAAGACAACATTCTAGTTGTCGCGCCAATATATGGGTGCGACCACCTGACATATTTTCTAATGGGATAGAATAAACCCCCGATCTTTCAAGAATAGAAGTAGGATCCCTGTCATTGGACAGCAACCTCCTAAGATTTGGCCATGGGGAAACTGGCAGGAAAAAAAAAAAAAACGCATGTCGCCTGAAAATACGGAGAGTGACGTGACCACAAAATGGTATCACGGGAAGGACTATTGTGGATTCTTTCGGCAGATGCAGTGTAGTAGCAGGAAAAAGTGATCTTTTTACTTTATTTAAGATGTAGATAAATTTGGCATTATTCTAGCCTGCCTCATTTACCGCACAATGAATGATATTAAGTTTGGTATCGATAGCAGCTTGACTGGAAGATAAAAGAAAGGCCCTTCTAATTAAACGTGTGATTGCTGCATTGATGTAATGTTGTGGCTGGTATGCTGTAGCAGGGATCAGGGGATGTACACCACTGAACTTGTGGGATACGGAATACATTATTGTATCCCGGGATATAACAATTTTTAGATCCAAGAATGCAATCTCAGTTTCTTTGTCTTTTTCCCAGGTAAAATTAATTTCGGGATAAGTGGTCGCGAGACAATCTTTGAAGGTAAGGAAATCTTCATGGGTGTCCTGCCAGGCCACTAGCACATCATCAACGTACCTAAGATATAAAAGTGGATATACTATCGTGCGGGGAAAATTAAAAATCTTAAACTCAGTATTCCTCATGCCCAACTCCGCCAAGATTGCTGAAAGCGGTGAGCCCATCAGGACTCCTTGCTGCTGTAGATAGACTTTGCCCTTGAACTGGAAATAATTATTTTCGGAAATAAAGAGTAGAGCTTTGCGTAACTCTAAAATCTCTTGCGTTGTAAAGCCCTTTTTGATTAGCAGTGCATTAGCTAGCATAAATAAAATCAAAACCTTTAAATAATCCAGCAAATTGTTTTTTAATATCTTAAAAACGCTTTCAAACGCTTTAAGCGATCATCTTCAGTTATCATTTTGAATCGAACGAAGAATTCGAAATTACGTAAAACAAAATTCAAAATGCGGTTACATAAATGTACGTTAACATTTACCAAGTTTAAATAATTGCTAAAATTATACAAGTTAATTAAATCAAAACAAAGAAATAAAGTAAAATAAAATATATACATTCAGTAAAAATTATCTTAATTATTCTTCCCGCTTACATAAACTACGTCAACTCATTGTAGAAGGATTTCCATGCCGATGACAATCCGTCAGCATCCCTATGATTAATACAGTTTGTGTGCAACTGCGCCTTGTGAATTTCTAGTTTTTCCAGATGTTTTATGGCCTGCCTGGATCTTGTAGCTTTAATGATCGACGCCCAATCCCAAAAGACCTCGATATTCTGTTGCTTCGCAAAGGCAGCAAGCACCGCAGAGTCTACGTTTTTATTTACCGAGTGCTTATGTTCAGCAATTCTTTTCTTTAAGTTTCTCATGGTTGCTCCTATGTATACCAAATTAGAATTAAATCTACGGTCTTTTAACGGTATTGAGTATACCCCTGCCATCATGTTGCGTTCGTAACTGCCTTTATCATTCCTTAAGAGCCTGTATACAGTGGGATTAC